GAAAAAGATGATCATCTAGCAATTGATTATAAGAACGTACAAGCCGCGGATTAATTAACGGTGTTTTTACGCAATCAATTGGCTATTCGGTATACCCGATGCCAAATATTATTCTGAAAATATTCAGAAGTTAGTTAATGATAATAATCAAGTACAAACTCTTTTAAAATCTCAAATGCAAGTTATTTCTAATACTATTAAAAATTTCAACAATTGAGCTTGTTCTCTAAAATCTCAAAAGGGAATATTAAATTTTAATTCATAAAAGATTAATGATTTCGTGACAAACATTAATTACATATCAATAATTTTAGAATTAGCAAATAAACTTTCTAACGATTGTAGTGAATATAGGGTGAAGGAACCAGTTGTCGAGTCGACACCAGTTTTCGAGTCCTGGTGACTATTTATGTCTATAAGTAGTAAATTATATTAAATACGTAAAATAAAATAATATAACAATATTTCCAATTAATATAGTTATTCATAAAAAAATGTTTTATATTGTAATGTTAAATTGTTTTTCTTAAAAAAAATAATTTTATATGCAGTACTCACGAAATCAGAGGACGAATGACACCATTTGCTATTTTCATTCGTAATGTGACTTGTGTTATTAAACTTCTAAAAACAGTATATTTTTTAATATTTGAAAAACTTCTTTAATACCATTAAGTTCAGAAGAAAACAAAGAGTATCTAACTGTTGATAATTACTTTATATGACTATTTATTAGTTTAAATAAAATTAATACTCGGTAACTGGTACTGAATTTTTATTGCTCTCCAATTGTCGATTTGTTGACACTCGAGAAATGGGTTTGGCATATTTTATTATTTGACACAATTTTTCGATTGTCAATTAAAACCGTAAGCATAAATATTATCTGACATTTTCAAAGGTTAATATATGGTTAGGTTTATGTAAACATCATCTATTAATTAATTTAATTTTTTAAATACTTGAATTTCGATAAAAAAATTTGTATTAAAGAATTAAATTCATGGAAATTTTGTGAAATTATATTTAGAGTAATTAAATTTGTTATATATACAGTTTTTTTTAATTTCTATTATGTGACAGAAAAACGACAACTGGGTCAAGAAATCGAGCAATTGGTATCTGAGCCTCGACAAATGGTATTTTACAAACAATTTCTTTTATATTAATTATTTAATAGATAATTTATTTTTTTAAACGAAAGTTTATCAAGTATACAAGCTTAGATACTCCTCTTACTTAAATCATATTTTTTAATTTACATGGATGGCCTTGATTGCATTGAAATTCCAAACCTTCTATTCTTACTAATTCAATGGACAAGTTTTGGGGCCTTTAATTTTTTTTAATTCGTCAGCACGAATTCAATGCATGCCTTGGTCATTTCTTTCGAATGCGAATTCGTTTGCACAAATTCAGGCAAATTCAATCGAATTCAATCGAATATACAAAAAGCTTGAATGAATCCCGCTTTCTACCAAAAATCTTAATTCATTTCAATCCGTTTGAATTAGTTTTTTTTTACTGGGTATTGGTTTTTAATCTTTTAGGTACCCTGAACTAAAAACAATTCTTATCTGAATAACTTCCCAGAAGAACCAGAGATATTGATGTTAGAGTCTTTTTTTCGTAATTGTCGAAATGAAAATTTGGTTATTGCGTCAATTTTTTCATAAGAGGTCGTCCATATACCACGTGGACAGTTTAGGGGGGAGGGGGGATTCGCAAAAAATCCACGATTTTCCACGAGGGGGGAGGGGGGGGTCAATACAAATGTCCACGTATGGACACAAAAGTTTAATTTTATATCTTTTTTTTCTTTTTATTCAACTTTATTATTAGATTGTGATCAGACAATATTTGTAATCCGAAATTTATTTAACTGTCAAAAAAACGCCAAATTCTTTTTTAATTTATATTACAAAATCATTATCGTAAATGCACAAATATGAATATATGCAAATTTGACAATTAGGAATACAAAGCAACCTCTACAAACTCTTACAAATTCTAAAAAAAATAATTTCTATTATTGTTTATGTGAAGGCTTAAAGCTATTGGATTTTAGAAAATTTAAGATTTGTTACCGAAGAGATTAAGTATTTCTACTAATATAATAATTGAAGATATATATTATGCTGCCAAAGTCCTCTCCATAATACTAAAAATGGTATATTTACCTATTTAATAATATTTTAAGATAAATAATTTAATCTTTATTGAATTTTAAAGAAGTTTGTTATAAAAAAATTTAAGGATTTCTTATTAATTATCTTTTTATTATTCACTATTTTAAAATAAAAAACCCGATTGTCCACGTGGACAATCAGGGGGGGAGGGGTTCGTCAAAAATCCACGATTGTCCACGAGGGGGAGGGGGGGGGTCAAAAAGTGTCTAAAAAGTGTCCACGTGGTATATGGACGACCCCTAATAGAGACTGTCAAAAACTTTTAAATAAGTTTAATATCTATTCTTTTTCTTTGAATGACACAATAAAATTGTACCCAATCATCTTGTACGAAAATGGTTTTTTAATAGAAAAACTGTCCTTTTTAGAAAAGGGCCCATATTGTCGGTTTCTCGTATTTTTAAAATTAAGAGGGGGTGGTGGTTTTAAAAATTTAAAACCTGTTGGTTTTTTATCTTCAAGGTGCCCTGAACTGGAAACAATTCTTATCTGAATAACTTCCAAGAAGTTTGTGGCGTTCTAAACTTTGAAATTCTGTAACTCAGCGAATTTTGAACCAAAAAAGTTCTAAGACCACTCAAAATTTTCCAAATTTTGACAGGAATACGCCCATACAGATAACTCCAATAGTGCCAAAATGGGCCCTTTTCATGTGGACGTCCACAAATATTTATTAAAGTTTTATTAAATTCATTTTTTTATCATCAAGCCTAATTCCGAATGTGTCACAGTAATGTTACTCATTGAAAGATCGCAAAATTCCGTAATTACTAACATTATATGTGGACGTTCACATGAAAAGGGCCCATTTTGGCACTATTGAAGTTATCTATATGGGCGTATTCCTGGCAAAATTTGGAAAATTTTGAGTGGTCTTAGAACTTTTTTGGGTAAAAATTCGCTGAGTTACGGAATTTCAAAGTTTAGAACGCCAAAAACTTCATTTCGAGAAAAACGGAATTAATAAAGATTGCGATACCAAATAATTGTTGTATCTCTCGTTTTTCTTGGAAGTTATTCAGATAAAAATTGTTTCGAGTTCAGGGCACCTTGAAGATAAAAAACCAACAGGTTTTAAATTTTTAAAACCACCCTCTTAATTTTGAAAATACGAAAAACTTTTTTTTTTCTAAAATGGACAGTTTTTCTATTAAAGAACCATTTTTTTACAAGATTAATGATTGGGTACAATTTTATTGTGTCATTTGAAGAAAAAGAATAGATATTAAACTTATTTAAAATTTTTAGACAGTCTGTATTATGGAAAAATTGACGCAATTTTACAGTCCAGGATACCTTAAAGATGGAAAATCAAGAGGTTTTAAGGGGAGACCCCACCTTAATTCTGACCCCTTTAAAATAAAATTATTAAACGAGGTAATATTTTTTTTCTTACATCATTTTTAACCTGAAAACATATAAGATGGTCAAAAATATTTAATTTTAATTTTTGAAGAGGTTAGAATTTTTTTCTTCTGACCTATTGCATATTATTGCAAATCCATGCGAGAAGTTGTTTAGAATGGTAAAATATGCGTGGAAAAAAATTTTCGTTAAAAAATATTAAAAACTGTAAGAGAAGATCGATTTTTAATATTCAAATCTTTAAATTTTGCCGAAATTTCGGAAGTCCTGAACCTTTATTTTTTTCCACTTTGATGCTCTGAGTCGAAAAAACATCGTTAAAATTGACGATTAGCTTATTTTCATGGTAAATACTATAAAAATCATGCCTTTTTGCATTTATTTCGGTATAATAAAGTATACCATAAAAGCTTCGGACTATGATTTTTATGGAATTTACCACGAAAATGAGCTAAATATAAATTTTAACAATGTTTTTTAATAGTAGCATCAAATTACGTAAATATACACAATTTGGAAAAAAATTAAAGATTTACGGCTTCCGAAATTTCGGCAAAATTTAAAGATTTGAATATTAAAAATCGATCTTCTCTTACAGTTTTTAATATTTTTTAACGAAAATTTTTTTCCATGCATATTTTACCATTCTAAACAACTTCTCGCATGGATTTGCAATAATAAGCAATAGGTCAGAAGAAAAAAATTCTAACCTCTTCAAAAATTAAAATTAAATATTTTTGACCATCTTATATGTTTTCAGGTTAAAAATGATGCAAGAAAAAAAATATTACCTCCTTTAATAATTTTATTTTAAAGGGGTCAAAATTAAGGTGGGGTCTCCCCTTAAATTTTTCCACACCACCATTTTTAAAATACGGATTACTTTTGCAAATGACCGACAAAATGGGCCCTTTTCATTTTTCTAAAGAACCAATATGAAATCAAACAGTTAAATTATCGATAAATTAATGAAAACCGCATGATTCGACTTGTCAAAACATGTAGATTCAGCACCAAAAAAGAGAAACTTCCATGACGCCTGAAACGTGATTTTTGAATCGAATTGATCTCTAATCACCCTTGAAGCGAAAAAAGAACCGTGGTGACTTCTTATAGCTGTATAGTGAACTTCAAGATTATACATGTCATTTAAATACTCGAAATAAGAAAATAACATTCAAAAAAGGAAAGCACTCTTTTCTTCTTCTCCTTTCTAGCTCACTGCTGCCTGACTATATAGTATTAGGACATGCGTCCGAACGTTGATCGAGTTCCTCGAGTTATAGAATAATACATAATCTACAAGTAACTCAAAGTTCGACACATTCCATGTAATACAAAGATTTTTTAATTTAATTGAGAAACATTGGTTCACAGACTGATTCAAAAGCAAAAAGAATCATTTATCAATAGGCTTTCAAGTTTTCAAGTATTAAAAATCGTTTGTTTATGTAGAGACAAGTAAAATTTATTTTTTAATCAATCTTTAATCATCCTATAATCTCTACTTTTCAAACATATGAGTATATTTAACTTAATTATCACATATTTTCTAGCACATAATGTTAATAATAAGTTCGCTTTCTATAATACACTTTTAAATTGAGAATTTCGAACAGTGAATACGGTCAAAAACGTGCCTTTCAATTAGCATTAATATAACATACCCTTTAATTGGTAAGATGACAATTTTTTCAACTTATAGTGACAGCCTTGAAAAAATTTGTCTTGGAAAATAGTATGATATTAAAATATCAACTGCAATTTACATTTTTGGTAAATAGAAAATAGTAAATAGAAATGTTGGGGGCATCCACATTTCAAGGAATAATAGATTTTCAATTTTCAACAAAAAAATAATGCATTAAAAGAAATATTGACTTTCTGACGGACAGAATGTTTGTTCTTAATTGCCTAGTTCTACTTACTTATTAAAATTACATTAAATTCACTAAAACCTGAGAATCAAAGCCACATGAACTTGCAGCTAATCGTCCTCACTCTCCTTTGTACGTAAAATATAAATACTTTTTATCATAGAAATACATATTTACATATTTAATATTCTACTGGGAAGGCGATTTGCACTGTTCGCAGTTTTCCATTTTCTCGTTAAATTCTTCTATTTGAAGCGTCATTTCAAAGAAATTATACTTTTCATGAATACTTCTTGTTGCCATTCTTAAAACGTGTTGAGGACTGGTACCGGGTTCTGAAACAAAACAATTAGAAAAGAGCTACAAATCAGTTCAGTTTTATAAACCTCAGTTAAAAGTTTCTGTTGAATTGTGCAACACTAAAACTAGTTTTTGTTAATTATTTTAGATGTAATGAAGACCTGAATCCACTTACGAATTGCGAGGTGAGCTGAAAGGGCTGTTTTGTCTAAGGAAAGAGCCCAGATTCTTAAGTTGTGAACCTTAACAACGCCGCTAATTTGCATGAAAGTACTTTCAACTTGAGAATAATCAAAACCTTTTGGAATTCCCTCCATGAGGACGTTCATAACATCTTTAATAATAGCCACTGTGGTCAAGACTACCAAAATGGAAAACAAGAATGTACAAATTGGATCTACTATTCTCCATTCAGGCTAGAAATTAAAACACATTTCATTAGTTTTTTCTAACAGAAATAACATATTATGATAATAAATTCCGAAAATTGTTACCTTAAAGTAAATGATAAGTGCAGCAACGAAAACTCCGACGCTTTGGATAAAGTCTCCGAGTACATGAATATAAGCTGCTCTAACGTTTATATTTCTTTTCTCTTTCTTTTCCGAAACTCCTTCTTCTCCACATTTATCGTTATTGCTCTTTTCTTCATGTTTGTGCTGATCGTTACTGTGACCATGACTGTGACCATGACTATGGCCATGACCATGTTGATGCAAGGTCAATCCCATTCTGCAAAAATAGATGATTCATTTTCAGCAACCAAATAAAATACATACATATTGATATTGGTAATCAAACTTGGAGGACTGTTAATTCAACTTACACAAGGTTCACTGCGACACCTATCGCTGAAGTTATTAACATGGCAGTAGAGTCTAAGTTGAAGTTTTCATTAATAATTCGGTCTACTGCAAGGAAAAATAAAATGCCAGTAACCACCCATATCATCAGAACGGATGTTAATGCACCTATTACCTATAAGTGGAATCATTTTTTTGGTATACAAGTATTTTTAGACTAGAGAATTCAAAGTGGCAAATTTAATTAATAATATAAGATACAACAAAATTCAAAACTGTAATTCTAATAGAAACCCATTCAAACTTTGTGAACAAGTGTGTATGGATTTACTTATTAAAATTTTATGGAATTTAATAAATCGATCTGCAGCTAACGTCAGATTTTTAACAACAAAAGGCTTGGAATATTAAAATATTTATTTATATAAACATTTATTAATGTTTATTTTTTTAGAAATATTTTTTATCATCTTAAGCTTATTTTAAAGGTCATTTTCTACAGAATGAGAATTACTTATAGGCATTAACGTGTAATTTTTTTCTTAGAAAATGCAGGTCGTCAAACTTGGACCAAAAAAATTCAAAAAGTTTCAAACAATCTTATAAACAGAAAAATAATTTTTAAAATTCAAACATTCATTATTTTAGAAGTTATTCAAATTTTTGTAAAACATTGAAAATGACGACTTTTAAAAATATCTAAATAAAATACTGGCCAAATGACTTCTGTAAGGTCTTATTCTCATCTTTCAAAACATACCGAAAAAATTTTAGTTTTTATAAATTTTATGTTTAAAAATTGTTTTCATTCCCCTGAAAATGGGTGGTCTGTCAATTTTGACCGGTACTGTAAAATTTGAAATTTAGAAATATTATTTAGCTAATTTCAATTTACACTCTTTACAAAAATTGAGTAAATGCTACATTTTAACTGCTACAAAGAATTGTTTACTTTCAAAAATATATTAATTAACATTTTCTCTCTCTAATAGTTAGTAATGTGTTTTTCCTTGTTACATAACTTTAACTATTTATGTTAACTATTAACTTAAACTATTATTAACTATGTCTTTTCTTAGTTGTTTTTGAACAATAAACAGCAAATATACAAGAATAAAAATAAAAACTACTACGAAATAAAAAAGGCAAAACTTACTTCTGCCCGATACCATCCAAATGGCATTTTTCTTGTTGCAGGTCGACTTGCCATCCATATTGAAAAAAGAGATATCATAAAGGATGCGAAATCTGTTAACAAGTGTGCAGCATCTGTAGCGATTGCTAAACTGTTTGACCAAATCCCACCTATGAAATGTAAGAATAATAGTTGAGTAGGTGCATTAAACGGATTTGTCGATATAGCAAACTTAACTTTTTGCATGGAACTGAACGCGGTATTGAATGCTAGGCAATATCAATATTTTACTGCAAGTCTGAGGCAACATTGTCAGGTAACATTCATACAATACTGAGGCAATATTCGAGTGACCTTTAGTTTTTAAGAAAAGAAGACTTGAACTCTCAAACTATAATGCGCATTTCTCCCGAGTTTAACGAATGAAACAAAATTACTAGTGTACATATTTACATAATTTACGAAGCATATACCCGGTACTAAGGCTATAATGAAAAAGAATTTAAATTTTTTCATATTCTCTAAAATTTCATTTTTTTTCTTTTATTTAATCTCGAAAATTCTCCTTTAATTCTCTACCCTCAATTCGGATAGAATTTATGCGAAAAATTAATTCCTTTCTATTCCAAAATGCAACTTGTATTCCATCAGTAGAATATGTACGTTGTAAATTTTGAATTCCAAAAACTTTCGTTGAATAACTTATAAAACTAGATGACTTTAAATGACATTAATGAAGAATATATTTATAATTTTTTTAATTCTAAAAAATTCCATTCTATTCCAGTTTTCATACCGCACCGGGTGTTTTTATCCTAAAGTAAAAAGTCATTGTAATATTATCTTAGTATTACCTTAGTGTTGCAATACAATAATACCAGAAAATGTTACCTGGCAACCCACACACTATCGAAACTTTCATAAAATTTTATTGGAGAAGAGGCGAATGGGTGCAAACATTCTTATGTTCATAAAAGAATTAATTACTTACCTACAATTTCGCCTATCATAAATAGTACACATAACACACTGGCAATTAGTAATTTTTTCCGTGCTTTCTTATCTATATCTTCATTTCTATCTCTATGACAGTGATCTTCACCTGAAATTTAAATTAATGTTTTCAAATTTAAATTATGTAAAACATCAAAAGGTGAATTTGTTAAAACAAACATTTTGTTGTATATAAATGTTGCCCGTATTTGCTCTTTGAAATCCCTTTCAAAAGAGGACTTTTACAGTGGTCACCATATATTCTAACTGCGCTTAATCGAAAATCAAAAAACCAAATGTTTTCTGTAAGTGGGTGAGCAATTGAGCATAGCTCGTGATTGAACCAAAGAATTTTTGTTGTTGTTTAGAAATAATTTTATTTGGTTTAAATGTCCGTTAAATCGTAAATTTTTATAAAAACGCTTGAAATTTTTAAAAATTCGTTCAATCACGAGCTATACACATCCACACAGAAAATATTATTTTTATTTCAATTGAAGCAGTCAAAAGGTATCGTAACCTGATTTTTAATATTTTTTGACAACAATTTTATATGCTGCATATTTTATAGTGTGCTTTCAGATATGAAAGTGTTTAAATAAAAAATTTATTTATTTAAAACAAAAAAGATAGTAAAGCTTCCAGTGAAAATAATCATATGTGTAGATTTGGACATGTGTAATGCACGTGTAAATACACGAGGAAAAGTTTTTACAAGTGTAACAATTTTTCCTCGTATATATATACGTGTATTTGCATGTTCAAATCGACACATGATTATTTTTAATACACGGAGAAAAATATAATGTACCTTTTACTACTTTCATAGTAAAACATTTCTGGTAACTTTTACTACTTTCGGAGTAATTTTTGCCACGTTCGAAGTAAATTTTACTACGTTCAAAAAAACATATTTGTAAAAAATTAATCAAATTTACTTCGAACGTAGCAAAATTTACTCCGAAAGTAGTAAAAGTTACCAGAAATGCTTTACTATAAAAGTAGTAAAAGTATGTGAAAATCGACTTCAATGTAAAATACACTTGAATTTTTTTTTTAATTTTGAAAATTGGAAAAGTGGATAAAAAAGAAAAAGATAAAAGATGATGTAAACTTAAATTAGTGAACATACTGAGAATCGGATGTTGATAATCATTGACTCCTTTATCATCAGTCTCACTGCCCTTTATAAGAGTACAGCAACCAGAAAGTTTTCCATGCACACAAAAAATAACTTTTTTCGATGTCATAGCACTGTCATTAAGTTCGTTGTTATTAGGAGCAACACTTGTTCCATAGCCAAAAGTGGCTTTATCTTTGAATCTGAAAAGAGTGAATGATTAAGTATAAAATACTCCTGTACCAAAAAAAGTTAGAGAAGTGCTAAAAATTCAATTGTAAGTTTAAAATTTTACATAATATAGGTATACACCGGTGGTAATTGTGCGATCTTTATCTTTTTTATGACTTTTTTTTTTTTCTTTAGGATTTAATAATCACTGTACCTATACTTGAAAAAAATAATATCTAAAATTTTTTCCTTTTTATAAAAAAAACTGATAAAATTCTGAAAAAAATGACACCTTATTTAACGACAAGAAATGTTAATTATTCTATCAGATAATACTTGAGTGACTTGCCTATAATTTCTTCAGAACTCCCAAAAAAATTAACGTTTTTAACGTTCATTGGCTTATTTTAAACGTATTTTTCAGTATAATTGAGATTTACTGCAAGAATTTATCTACAAACATTTCTTTAGAAAGTGCAAGTCATGAAAGTTGTTTCAAGAAAAAAAAGAATTTGTAAAATGCGTTATTTTAAAAAAATGTTTAAACTTCGAATCAAGTTTTGGATATTTTTATGACATATAGTATCTTGTAAAGGAATGTATGTCACACAATATTACTGCCAGTAGTGTATTTTCTTATAATACAGGATGTGGAAAAAGAATGGAACCCCTTAAATAATTTTTAAGCCCAACAACTTTTGTTTCAAATAGATTTTGCCCCGAAATATAGATTTTAAGAAATATTTAAGAGGTAAACATATAATTGTAAACTAAATTCCACTTTTTTACTATCGGAAGATTCAAAAACGGCGAGATTCACGACCTGAATTAAAAATATTCAAAACCGCACACAAATTTTGAATAACAAATTTATTCACCAGGTTTCTCCTCATTGCTTTGTGTTTATGGAAATTTTCTGATCCATTCGATAAATATTTTGAACCAAGATCATCGATTTCGATTTACTCTCTATATAAATGTGAAGATTCACTCTAAATCTACTTATGGTAGAAGATGAATATTAATTTTTACTTTTAAACCTGATAAGAATGCACTGGTTTTTCCAAATTCTTCCCCAATTTTATACTTTGTTTTATTATTAACAATAAATAATTATATAGAGTATTTTAATAATAATATTAGCAATTATAGTTATGAAATTGAGAATGTAAAGTACACAATGAAAATAAATTATTACTGTTCAAAAATCAATCATAATTAAAGCATACTTTTTAGGGTTCTGAACCCGATAGGAACCCTATTGAAACGGTTACGAAAATGACAATGTACACATCAAGCGTAGATTTCAGAAAAAATATAGCGAAATACTAGAAATTTTTTTCGATTAAGTAAAAAAAGTGTTTACCCTTCCTGGCGCTCACAATTCTTGGCCTAGTGGACTGCAGTTTTACATTCGTGTATATTTTTATATTTAGACTTCAGAAAAAATGTAATGAAAATGATTAGAGTTCAGTACGTGCACGGCACCCTCGGCTTTAGTACGAGTTCAACTTTGTCCAGTTTTATATCTTATCTTGGTAATTCTTTAAGAAATTGTCACTTTTATACCTGACACTACTTTAAAAAACATTTTTCTGTTAAGTTTTTTCAAACTAATATTATCACTCTATAAATTTGAATAATAAGCGAAATTCACTCACTCGCACAACGTTCACAAGCATTTTTCCCGGTTTTTCGGAAATATTTCCCTCTATTTTCTACCTACTTTTAGAAAAAGCTCCAATATTTTTTACAGAAATATCCACTAATTTCAAAAAGCGTACATGCGCTAATTAATCAGTGAAATTTCACAAATTGGTAGCGTATATACACTAAATGGAAACTGGTATACCTTAATTCTCATCCTTTTCCAGATTTAGAAAGCGTTGCTTAGTATGAAAATAAATAATTTAATAATTTGATTTTTTTTCGATACTTATATAAAACTAGCTGTCGTACCCGTCTTCGACGGGTTTTAGTTTCTACCAATACATTTAAGTTTCTACCAATCTGGAAAATCAGGAAATAGCTAGGGAATTTAATTTGACCGGAAAAAAATAATAATTAGTTACCATTATAGCTATTTTAGTAGGAAAATATTACTATTTGAATCAGTGATTGACTTTTCGTTATCAAATTAGTTATTTTAACCAATTCAAATGCAGAGAACAATATTTATCAATTTGTAGTACTTTAATTAATGTATTAAAAAAATTAAATTTTCCATACAGTTTTTGGAGTTATAGTAGAGTCTAATTGGAACTAATTGTATCGCAAGTAGACCCTACGTTACGACTGCTAAAACCTAACATAAGACCTAAATTTTAGGCTGAAAGTAGGGCTTAAATTTTGACTCGGGTCTGTTTTCATAAATATTATACATCAATAAAAATTGAAGTAAAAAGCAATTTTTTAAAAGCGAATTAATATAATGAAACTTTTTCTTAATTTGATAGGAAAATTCCCGGTTCGGCATATTCCCAGCTTTTTACAGTTTTTCCCGTTTGGTAGATACCCAGTTAAATGTATTAGTATAAACAGAAAACTGTACGACAGCAAGTAATACAATCTATATTTATATGAACTTAAGAAACAGTATTTTCATAAAATAAGTAAATTTTTATAGCCATTTGTAGATTTATTTATGGATAAAATCAAGTAAATTTAAATTTGACAAAAAAGAGATAAACCGTGAAAAGTTTGGACAAAGCAGGGAATTTTGTTAAACAAAAATAGACACCGTGTTAACTTTTGTCTTTACATTGCTCAAAACATCTCTTAAAGTTAAATCTAGAGTTAAAATGAAAAAACGTTTTAACATGTAAGTTTTTGCCTAGTGGCATAATATGCTTGTATTGTATCACAGGTGACTTACAATTCTTGACATCCTGCGAAATCATTTTAATCATAAAAAATTTCCATTTTCAATATTTCTGAACTTCTTGAAAATATTAGATTGATTTGATAAATAATTTTGAATTGCACTATTTTGACATCAAAATATTAATCAGAGACTCCAAAAATACTACTGAATTATACTTTATACTTCATATAGTAATTAGTATCGATTTTTTGATATATTGAAAATTTTTTTATATTTCTTGTAGGATAGTATTTTTTGCAAAATTATGATAAAATCTGACTAAATAACATATAATATTCATTTTTAGAAAGTTTAAAAGCTATCCATTAAAAATTGTGAAATTTGGAAATTTTCCATTTTTCAAGTTTTTAAAAATATTTTTATATTTACATCTTAGTTGTAGAATAGTATTTTTTGAAAAATTATGCTAACATGTAATACTCAAATATAGAAAGTTTAAAAGCAATCCATAAAAAAATGTAAAATTTTGAAATTTTCGATTTTTTGAAAACATTTTTATACTTACATATTAGTTATAGGACTTTATTTTTTGCAAAGTTATGCTATAATGTGACTAAATAACATATAATACTCAAGTATATAAACTTCAAAAGCAATCCATGAAAAATAAAAAATTTTGAAATTTTCGATTTTTTGAATTTTTTGAAAAAATTGAATATCTCCCGTTCTAATTAATATTTTTTAAATCTGTAAATTTATAAACCTTCCTTGGGTCAATACCTAATAACCTACCAAGTTGGACTTAAATCGATTCACATGTTTTTGTGTGATTGGGGTACAAAGTTTTTGTGACAGACAAACATACATACATACATACATACATACATACATACATACATACATACATTAAATTTTTTAAGAACATTTTTGGAATCTCTGATGTCCATAATAACTAATCATGTTAACATTTTGAAGTTTTAAGCAATGTACAGACAGACATCTGATTTTATTAATAAGGATTTATTATCAGACATTTTTTCTTTTATGTTTAAATATTAAACGAGCCAATATTTTTTCTCAAGCAAGAGAGGATGTTTGATTTTTCATTAATATAATAATCATAAGTACTATACCTACATTTGCGATTGTATTAATGAACTTTACTGAAATATTCAAAGAATTGACCTGAATTTAAATTGAAGATTACTATTGTAATATAAAATATCTACAAAATAAATTTATTCCAAAACTGCGCATATTTCCCAGAACTTCCAACAAAAAAATATTTTTTAATTTTTATTATATTATTTAATTTAAATTTTTGAGCTTCCTGAAAGACAATAAAAGTAATATAATCTATATAATTAATGGTCCAATAATTGAAGATTTGTAAAATTTTGGCAATGTTTGCTCTAAAACATTTCGTCTAATTATTTGTGGCTTCAAAAAAGCAAATTAACATACTCTTGAAAAATAGGTGTCTTTGATTCATCTGTGCTGCGCGTCGATGCTCCAAATCTTTGACTAAAATCACAGGTAACCTTGGTATAACCACATGGTTTCCCATAAATTCGAGAAATGCTCGATATCCAACGCCAATCGGAATATTCACGTTTGCGCCTCCTTTTGTATGGCCTCAAATAGTCTCGCGAGTACGAAAACTCATTTCTTTTTATTAGGTGCGCCATTTTAATTCATTCAACGACACTCTTGCACTTGGAATCTTCGTTCAAATTTTTCATTACGTTTCAAGTTGCAAAATTCATTCACTTTTCGATATTTCTATGACTTTGACACTAATAAAAAGCGCACTGGTATAAATGAGAATGAGAATGCCACTGTTTTTGGAGAATAATTATTTTTGCTGTTGTGTAAGAATAAGAATGTCTTCCGCGAATCGCTTTTCAATTCATGGTTCGTACTTGTTAGAGACACTGCGACAAACAAGCCGGTTTCCTGGTTGATGAATCTTTATCTGTGACGGCTTTGAATGTTAAACATCACTAACCGTTTTCATCCGTGAAAGTTGCGAGCAGCAGTACCAACTAGGTGTCCTTGTGCAACAAGGACGGTACAGAGATGTATTTTTATTAAATATTACTCAAGCAAAGAAAGTTTTTCAGCATTTTCGGAATCGAAATCCTATGAAATTCTTTTTCAATAACGCTATATTAAAAATAATATAAAATCTCAAGAGGTTTATTATTTCTTCTATTCATTTTAACTTATTTATTTTTCACTTTTAACTCCACTCTGAGAACAAAACTTTAATTGAATCGGGAAAATTTTACTTGGTTCAAGTAAATTTTGGTATTGCATATGTTCTAGGTTCAAGAAAATATGGAATTCGATTGAGAAATTAATCAAATGTAAGAAACAATGACATAATAATATCATTAGGTCAAGAAAATATTTTCTCGGTCAGAGAACATATTTTCTTTACATGAGAAAATTTAGAGACTTCAATAAAAAAAAATTTATTTTCAGTAGAATTTCACTTTAGAGTGAATTTACTATTGCCAGTAATTTTTTTTTACTACATGAACCAGTTAATCTGTTTTATCAACATTTAATAAAACAGCTACTGACTACTGCCTCTCAGTGACAGTGAAATTTCACTGATTGTCAGTAAAGATTTTACTGAATGATTTGGTGGAAGAGTTTTCATTATTTCATCAGTAATGAAAATAAATAAAACGATCTAATTTAGGAAATAAGAATGATACAAATTTTGCACAAATTTGACGATTTTTTAAAGTGTTAATTAGTTGTAATAATTAATATTCTTATATGGGTAGTTCTACAAACGAAGGACGAAAATGAAGAAAATTTTGGCACAATATTTTTTTTACGTTCAGGTTTTAAAAAGTAGGTTAAATTAAAGTTAAAAGTATTATCAAAGTTACCTAAAAGTGGCCAGTCAAAAAAATAAAAATTGTAAATTTTACATCTTAAGCACATGTGTATTCTGTCAGAAAGTGCCAGGAAACTGAGAATTTGGTCATTTTTCATCTAAAAAATTTAAAAATAATGCTTAATAAAAAAATAAAGCATACTGGTCAACAGGGAATAAGGTTCTACGACACCTCGAGCAACAAAAGTATAGAAACATAAAATATTTTTTTTAAAAATGCGTGCCAGGAAACTGAGAATTTGTCTGACCAAATGCCCATTTCGATCACAAAGTACAAAATTTTAGTTAATTGAACTGCAAGTTAAGTAAAATGCAAGTGATATCATATTTAGTTAACCTTTACTAAGCACTGTGAAAAATGGTGAATTAATCGGAATGAAAATTCTTAATAATTTTAACGTTTTTTATGATGCCAGGAAACTGAGAATTAATTCGATGGACAAAATTCAAGATAATATCTTTTAAATAAAATATCAAGTAATGTAACAATTATTTTAATCTTTGTAAAGTACAACTATTTGAAATTATTATCAAAGTGTAAATTTGTATTTAATCGCTTAAAAATAATATTTATATAATTTATTAACTTTCATTTTCACATTGGGACATGCCAGGAAACTGAGAATTTAGCACTTGAATGCTTATTTTTTGCAAAAAATATTTTTTGAAACCGGGTAACGTTTTGTGGGATAATAGTAATTATTAAGTACTACAGTTCCCATTGAAAATAATTTTATTTCTTTCAAAATTAATGTAGAAAAAAAACCTTGGACATCATATATTCCCTCGTTTGTAGAACTACCCATATTTTAATAAATTAATTTACTTGTAAATTAGATTTTATATATTTTCTTATTAAATTTCAATTGACATCAAATTGCCGTCAATTTGATGAAACAAAATTTTTCAATTTAATGATAAAGTGTAATATAGAAGTTTATAAATTAATAATATATTCTAATGTTCATTACAAGATTTTTATTTAAAATTAAAAATGACAAAAAATTTCGTAAAAATAAAAATTTTTTTTTGAAAATAATCACTTGTAATTTCTAAGATTAAATTTTGTTTTTTAACTGAAAAGCAATTACTTTAACTATTATTATTTATTTTACAGGTCTTGATTAAAGTTTTTCATCTTTAAATAAAAATTTGAAAATGAACAATTTATTAAAAATGAATTTAGTACTGAAAAATATTATCGTTACATTAATGTCAAAAAATGGTCAAAATGTGAGATACATTTTTGTCAATACGAGTAATCAATTTGATGTTAATTATAGACATCAAATTGATGAGCCACTTCTGATTGGGCAAATAGATCCAGGTTCCTTATAAACGTACTTTTTTATTGTTTATAAAAGAAATAAATATTGAAATAGATAAAATGATAAATAGAATAGATAGATAGAAAAGTAGATAGAATGATAGATATGAAACAAAATATCCGATAATATGACTGAAATAGAAAAGAATTCAAAAATTTTAACATCCTGTGAAATTTGAAATTTTTTTATTCTTTTTAATCACGAAAATTATTTTTTCATTTCTATACTCTCAAATTCTGCAGTATATGTAAAAAATTAATTCCTTATTTCTATTCCAAAATATATACATATGCAACTCTTGCAATTCTAAAAACTTTCGTTAAATGATGATGTATAAAAATAGATGATTCTAAATTCCGTGAAAGAGAATACATTTATAATCTTTTTAATTCCAAACAAGGCCTTCTAGAAACAGTACATGTAGGTATTTTCTGCTCCAAAAATGGAATAGATTCAAGATCCTTCTAAATACCTTTTTATGCTGAAATGAAGAAATCTCCGTTCATATTTTGTCTCAATCTCAAGTGAATTAAAAATTAATAAAAATGTGCAATTTTTTATTTTCAATGACAGTTTACTCTCTCGATTATTATTTTTTTCATATTAAGTTCACTAAATCTATTCATATTAGTTAAACTTTGTATGAAATAATTTACGATAGAGGATTATCTGATGCATATAGTGTCCCGTATATAGCTATAAAATAATAATTATAACTTTACCAGAAAATTACGTTTAGATTGTATGAGGTAAGAAGCTTGACATTTTTACGAAATCAAACATGAAAGAGCCGTGTGAAAACAGATATCACGAATGTAGTACCGTCTGCAAAATGCAGACATATCTACTGTCAATCTGTTTTTGTAAATCTTTTATGCATGTGCTTATTTTATTTATTAAAAGCGTATCAAGCATTTTTACATTATTTTCTTTAAATGAAAATTAAATGGTTTCAGAAATAAATTACTTCTGCGTTCAAATGAATTTAATGAAATTTCTCATTTTTCCACATTTTTAATACTGCATTATACAGACTTCGCACTCGATAATAAATTTTAAAAAAGTAACTTTCAAACTAAAAAAAGTAGTCAAAAAGTAGCTATCGAAAAATTAAACTTGACGACCAAAAGAACTCGTTTTAGACACTTCACAAAACTGACGAAAATTCCATTCCATATTTTTTATTTTCCTGACTTTTTCCTAATTTTCATCAAAAATATTTACTTCTTTCTTATCCTGATAATAAATTGAATTCCTACAACGAATTTTATTATTCATGAAAAAATTTAAATATTTATGAAAATAATTGAATTTTGCAAAGGATTTTATTAAAATGCCTCAAAATAATGGAATTTTCGGGAATAATTTTGTTATTTATCTTTATTAATAATTGAATTCTTCGGAAGAATTTTATTAAAATATTTGAAAATAATTTAATTCCTGTGAAAAATTCTAATATTTTTGTACCTAAATAATTGATTTTTTTGAGAAATTACAATTAAGTTTTTAAAAATAATTACATTTTTTTTATCAATTCCTGTAAAATTATAGCTATTCAAAATAATTAAAAATCCTGCGATCAATTTTATTATTTATGAAAATAATTGAATAGAATAGAATTTTAAAAACATTGTTTTAAGGGGTTAAACCACTCTAGAGCGTCAAAAAGAGCTTCTAATTTCAACATTTTTTTTAAAGAAAAGTTTAAAAGTAATGAAAAATATGTTTACATATCTCTATTAGGTACACTTTAAAGAGAAAAAAATATACTTTATAAATTTTTTTTTTGTTTAAAAACAGCAGATGTACATGTACGTGATGGAAACCCTTTGTAAAAAGAATTCCTTCGCGGCCGGAAAGGTTTTTGGTATAATTTTCATCCTAGAACAGAAAACAAATTTTTTTCTATTTTTACATCTCAAAAGCTAGAGAAAGACGTAGGGGATTTTTTTTAAATCGATTTTTGCAAAAATGGTGAACATTTTATGGAAAAACTGAGTTTTTGACTGAAAAAATAGGCACTAAATTGTTTATAACTAAAAAAATATGCAACATAAAAAAAATCCCCTACGTCTTTCTCTAGCTATTGAGATGTAAAAATAGAAAAAAATTTGTTTTTTGTTCTAGGATCAAAATTGTACCAAAAACCTTTCCGGCCGCGAAGGAATTCTTTTTACAAAGGGTTTCCATCACGTACATGTACATCTGCAGTTTTTAAACAAAAAAAATTTATAAAGTATATTTTTTTCTCTTTAAAGTGTACCTGATAGAGATATGTAAACATATTTCTCATTACTTTTAAACTTTTCTTTAAAAAAATGTTGAAATTAGAACCTCTTTTTGACACTCTAGAGTGGTTTAACCCCTTAAATAATTAATTTTTTCGAAATTTAATAAATATTATGAAAATTTTATTTTAAACAATTGAATTCTTGTGGAAATCTTTATTTGTGAAAATAATTGAATTTTTCGATTAATTAAGTTAAAATATTATTAAAAATAATTGAAATTCTACGTTGAGTTTTACTATTTATGAAAATAATTGAATTCTTACTTAGAATTTCATCAAAATTTAAAAAAAAAAATTGAATTTACATGTAAAATGTTATTATTAGTGAAAGCATTTGAATTATTGTAAAGAATTGTATAAAAATTTTGTTAAATAATTGAATTCCTGTGGAAATTTTAATATTTATGAAAATAATTGAATTCTTTTGCGCAAAATTATATATGAAAATACTAGATATTGTAAATAATTAAATTTCGAATAGTTTTTGAAAATAATTGAATCGTTTTAAAGAATTTGATTA